TTTATGCTTTGTGAGTTTTTCTTCTCTGAAGTATATGTTAATGCTTTTGAAGTCATCCTGCATTGCACACTTAAATTCATTATTAGATAGAGGTGTTTAACATGATTTTCTTCTTAACGAATAGAGTAGGCTAGGCATGATGGTGTCCAGCTGTCATCCCAGTTACTTGGGGAGAGGATAAAGCAGGAGTGCTTGAGTCCAGGAGTTCAAGGTGTTTGGACAGCATAATAAGATCTTGTCTTTAAAAAAGATGGTTTGCCTTAGAAATTTTGCTTGCTTGTTTTTTTTTTTTTTTTGTTTGTTTGCTTGTTTTTGTTTTTTGTTTTTGTGGTATGGGAGATTGAACCTAGGGTCTTCGCATTGAGTTTTATCCCCAAACTGACCATCCATTCATTCACCCATTTATTTATTTATAAAATTGTTGTTAATGTTGAGACAGGCTCTCATTAAGTTGTCCAGGTTAGGTTTGAATTTGCTAATATTCCTGCCTCAACCTGTAAGAGTGCTGGGATTACAGATGTGTGACAAACCATTAAGGTTGTAACTAGTACATAAAAAGACTGACCATTAATAAAATTTATATGTAGCATATAAATGTATCATGTCTGACTTTGAAGTGAGTAAGTAGCTTTTTTTCCCTTGAACTTGCCTGAGTTGGGCATTTTGTGTAACAATGAAAACGGTTAACAAGCATAGGTCTTGGAGGCAGTCCTGGGGATCACCCGCTCTCCAGCTGACCATTCCCTGCAGTGACTCATCCTTGGCCAATTATTGTTTAGCATCTCTGTGCCTCATTTTTTTCATTTGAAAAACAGAAGCCAACAAAGTCATGGAATCATTTTGAGAATTTAATAAGATTATATATGCAAACTTCTTAGGCTGCCACAACTATTAGCAGATACAGTGGCACAAATACTAGCAGTCAGTATATAATGATGAATAACTGCATGTAAATCAACGCTGTTCTTGGGTATGGTAATAACTTCATGGTAGAGTACCTGCCTAGCATGTGAGAAACTAGCATGTGAGTTCCACCCCCAACACTGCAAAAAAGATAAAATCCTGTTCTTCCAAGATATTTTAAAACTTTTTCTAATTTTGCTTATTTTTTCCTGAATATCTAATATGTACTATCTAATATAAAATGGACTACTTTTTAGGTGCTTTCTATATGTAGCAAACATTGTGGTGATTATACATTGTGCTGTTTATGCCTCAGTTTTCTAAGGAGTGCATTTTAGTCCTTATTTTATAGCTGTGGAAGTAGAGAAGTTACCCAGTAACTGGCTCAGGGTCACAGAGAGAAGTGCCTGGAATCTTCCTTCTTATACCTGGTTTGTCTGTCTTTGTAACCACATTATCAATTGGTTAGAATGTAATAGGGTAAATGTGTGGATCATTTGAGGGAGGAGGACTGAAATTTATCATTTCAGCATGTAATTTGCAAAGTCTTTTAGGTTTTTAAGTTTCTGAAATGTTTCAGACATAGAATTGGTATAATTTTGTGATAAGTCATGGGATTGGGGAGGGTTGGGGCTCTAATTTTGTTCTTTTATTAAATTTGTTTAAACTATTCTGAGTTTTATTTTTACAGAAATGTAAGAATCAAAACGTTAATCTATGTGAAAAATGATGTTGACAGTTTGATAAGGGCTTGTTTTCTGATCTTCATTATTTTCTTCTGTTTGTATTGGTTTCATTCTTTTATTTTTAACTTAAAAAAATGCAAATAGGCCGGGTGTGGTGGCTCACCCCTGTAAGCCTGTAATCCCAGCGCTGGGGAGTCTGAGGCAGGAGGATCATTGTGAGTTCGAGACCAGCTTGGGCTATAAACTGAGCTCAAGGCCTGCCTGAACTGCATAGAGACCCTGTCTCCAAAGGAAAAAAAAAAAGGGCAAATACATAAATAAAGAAGGGCTGGGAATACAGCTCAGTATAAAGGCCCTAGGTTTAATCTTCAGTGCAAAAGAAGAAAATAAAAATCCTCATGAGTAACAAAATAAAACAAAACAACAAAAATATAAGAAAGTTTTGTTTCAGCTACCTAGATTTGACAGGTTACTTTGAAACATGATATTTGCTTTGTATGTTTTAAAAATTATTTTGTATTTGTTTTATTTCTTTTACTTCATTTTTAAAAACAAATGTAGCCTTAATGATCAAATGTTACAACTTCTTTTCACCTGCACCATATGGCTACCTAACCTGCTGTCTAGATGTTAATACAAGAATATATCAGGTGGGGCTGGGGATTTAGCTCAGCGGCATAAGCACCTGCCTTGCAAGTAGGTGGTCGTGAGTTCGATCCCCAGTACTGGAAAAAAGAAAAAAAAAATACATCAGGTGCATGCATAAACAGAAACTAATGCAGTGGTACCTCTGCTGACAAACTTGATTCTTTCCACAATTCTGGCCACAAACTTAGATTAGAACCAAATCAAATTCAGTGGTTAGGTTCAGTGTTGACCTTATGGGAAAATTTGATTCAGTTTTTGTCCAGTTGATTCAGTATTTGTTCAGTTTTCCTCCAGAGTTGTGGAGGAAATTGAGTTCATATACAAACATGTAAGCTGTTTTGCTTTTTTATTAATATGCTTTTAATTAATATAAACAGCAAAGACATTAGATACTCAGATCTTTCACCTATGTACAAGTATAAAGACTTCCTCAGATACAAAGTAGTAAAAACTACCAAGAGAATAGACAAACCTGACTATAATCTGACTTAAAGTTTCTGTGTGACAAGGTGTGAAATAAACAAATGAAATAAGTTATTAGGGAAACATTTGTAGTCCTATAACCAACAAAAATTTTGTATCTAAATTATATACAAAATTCCTATAATAAGTTATTTTGGGTTTCTATGTGTATATTAGATTGCACTACTAAGTATCCCTAAGAACTTGTTGAATGTCCGTATTTTAAACATGTTAAAAATAATCTCCCAGTATTATTCTAGATTTGTCCATTTTTCTCATAATTATAAATTTTGAGACCATGCTGTTAGATATGGATGGGTACTGAGTTTTTAAATTGCTAGTGATTTATTCCTTACCATTATGTAATGATTTCTCTGTGCATTTGAGGAAAAAATATTTGGACTGATGTAACCAGATGCATTGTCTGTCTTTCAGCTACTATTTGCTGAGTCATTTTTCAGTCTCTATTTTTCACTTTTTTTGTAGTACTGAGGATTAAACCTAGGGAGAGGCTGGTACTGAACTACATTCCCAGCCTTTTTCATTTTCTAATTTGAGACAGTTTAAGTTGCTTAAACTTGTAGTCTTTCTTAGCCTTCTAAGTAGCTGGGATGATAGGAGTGTACCTGGTGTCAATAATTTTTCTTTCAAATACAGCACAAAGCTTTTTTCTTTAGCCTCGGATGGGTACGTTTTAAAAATTTTACTCTCTTGCCTTTCCTAGCTTAGTTTAGTCTGTTTGCATCTGTGGTGGTCCCTTATAGCTTCGGACTCTTTGTTTCTTACTTCAGCGCTTTCCACCAGGCACGTCTTTTTCTTTGCTTTCCGCCTCTGCCCCCCACGTTCCGACTTCATTCATATAGCTCTTATATTTCTTTGTCACTTTTTAATCTTTCTGTACTAATTTCAAAGTCACTTTTTTTTGCTATTCTTTAGTGATACTTCTAATATTTTTGACATGTGTATGTAATGTCTAATTAATAGTATCTTTGCCCTCTTTCCACTGCTATAATTATAAAACCTTAGAAGGCCTCACTGTAGATGCCCTGCATCTTACATGCTCATATAAACCAGCATTTTGGCTCCTAATTATTTTTGTACCAAAATTAAATGATTATTAATTGTAAAGGTTGTTTAGATTTATCTATTTTTGTTATGTTGTTTTTTGTTGTGCATTCCAGTGTTCTTGCTTAGGTTTTTTTGTTTTGTGTTGTCACAGTACATTTGTCTTCATTTGATGCTCACATTTTGGAGCAAGAGCACTTCATTTGGAGTCAGAGTTACAGAGCTGCCAGTATATGCATATTCCTGCGTTTCCAAGGCCTTTGATATTATGTAGAATTACTCTTTTATTTAAACATGAGTCTTCCACAATTATCAATGAGAATTTAGTGACTAATAAAAACAGTGTTTTACATCATTGGAGAAATCAGTGATGGTGAACCTTTTAGAGACAAGTGCCCAACTGCAGCCCCAAACCCGTTTTATCACGAAGCCCCAATACTTCAATTAAACTTGAATGAAGAAAGAATTTTTAATTTAGAAAAAACTCATGATTAACATCTTTTGTCTTAAAAGAAAAACACAAGTGCCATAGGTTCACTGTCACAGGGAAAATAAATGTTACTATAGCAAATAGCTGTACTGGGGAAAACAGAGTTGGACTCCTACTTCACTGTGACCTGGTAACCTCCTCCAGAAGATGACAGTGCTTACCTGACAGGATTAATGAGTGAATGAGACAACAGGATCCTTTACTAGATGATAATCATAAATAGATTTTTCTTGCTCATTTCTCTTCTCAATTCTATATAAGTTTAGTTTGGAGATTTTATTCTTCCATGACTGTTATTTGCGCTGACTTAATTGGTTTGACTATAAGTTTAGGTTGAGGAACAAAACTATAAATGTGCAACTGGTGTGGAGGTGGCAGAATATTAAGCTGTTAAGTGAAGTCTTTTTGTTGTTGTTTTTGTTTTTTAAATGGCCTCTGGACTTCATAATACAGGCTTTTTGTCCGATATGTTGAATTTATTAGAGAAGTATATCAACTCAATACCTTCTTTAAAGGTATCAGGATTAATCCAGCAGTGTTTTAACGTCTGTTCTGCACCATCATTCCACAGTATATCCAGTGAGACTTCAGCTTTTTAGTCATCATACAAATATCTCAGCTATTATGGTAAAAAATACTTCTAGAAACCAAACCACTTTTAAATGTTTCATTTCTCATGCATTACAATATGCTTAAATTTCTTTAAGATCAATGTTTACAGTATGTTTTTGTATTTGGTTTTTAAGGTGGACAGGCATGTAGATCTACTAGAAGTTGCTCAAGAAACTGATGGGTTTTCAGGAAGTGATCTAAGAGAGATGTGTCGAGATGCTGCCCTCCTCTGTGTCAGAGAATATGTTAATTCTACATCAGAAGAAAGGTACGTGGATTTAGTCTTGAGTTCTAGTATTGTCAAGCCTGTTGGAGCTTACAAGTTAGCTTTCTTTTTCTGTTTTGCTTTATAATTGCAACTTTGCTTAAAGGAGTCAAGTTTGAATTAGCAAACCCCTTTAATTCATTTATTGCCATTTTCCTAAAGGGAAGTTGTGAAAACGAAGGACCGTGGGGAGACTATGGCAAGAAATGAATGAATTTCTATTGGTAATCTGTGGAATGAGTCACAGAAAACTGATGGTAACCTAGGCTTGTGCGTCTGTTAAAAAGGCAGTGTTCTATAACACCCCTGGACTGCTTCTGCACTGTATATATAAATGGTGCCTGGTCTTCTAGAAATTGCATATGTAAATGAAAGGGATGTGGGAGTGCTGAGGACTGGGCCTCAATTTTAATAATAAATTTACGAAGCAAACTATTTGTCACTTGTTGTAATCCCAAATATTGTGTACAGTCATCAAAGTATTGTAGTCCCTTTGTTAATCGTCCTCAAAATCCAAAAAGTTATAATTGTAATCCCACTGGGATGTTATTGGGATCCCAGCAAGTTAATTCCAATCTACCACCTCCAGTGCAACCCACAGTGAGAAAAAAGACACCAAGACATACTCAACATTAAGGGCAATCCAATCCCCTTGAGGATGTGAGGACAAAGGCCCTGATCCTAGGCCTCTCCTAGAAATTATTATTTTGTGAAGAAGGGAGTGGCTCAAGGATGAGTGATAGTGAGGATATCATGAATTTTTGAATTACGTGAGAGAGAAGCATCTCTGCAAAATGCAGAGATAAAGATATGCAGAAGGATCAATTTGCATAATTCAATTAAGGTAGCAACTAAATTGTTTTAGGAGGCTGTTTGGTTTCTGATGTGTAAATTTTTGTACCCTGGGGAGTAATGGCCTCTTTACCTTGAGGCTCATACCCAGTTGACTTTCCTGGAGTTGACTGGTTCTACTGTCCTGCTGTGCTTGTACATGTTAGAGAGAGCACTATGTCTGAAAACAGGAGACTGATGACTTAGAGATTACATACCAGTACCTGGCTGGCCTTCTTTGCATTGCTGAGAGCCAATTGAAGAGAGAAGGAAATACCATAGTCAGCTCTGTACACAGCAGTATAGGAAATCACTCTCCATATAATCAAAGTTGTAGCAATTGTTCTGCATTCATGTGGAGTCATTCAAGTTGTCTCCTACAGTCACTAAAGCAAATTTTAAATTAAAGCAATTTCAAAGTATGGTGAGCTTGGGAATCTGTTTTGTGCCATCTTTATTCTAGCCAAAATATTGTAGACTGAAATAATTCAACTCTGGTGAACTTTGTCTTCAGGAAAGCTTCCCAAAAGGCTGCTTGTTCCAGATCAGTGCAGCATTTCTTTCCAGAACATCACCTAACAAAGATTTTTCTTTGTTAATTAACTCTTAGTAAATTAGTATGTTTGGAGGAATCATGTTGGATTGAGTTCTCCAATGCTTGTTGCTTTGTTTCTTAGTCTCCCTTCCTGAACTCTGTTGTTTTTACTCCAAAAGTGCCTAACTTGCCTGCGATATTCTTGTACTTAATTACAGTGTTGCCATGGCAGGTGCCAAACTTTTTTTTTTGTCTATAAAAATGTTAGCATTAAAGCTTCCCTGTTACCTAGGAGCTTTGTGGGTACGAGACATGGTCCCATTGCTAGTGCTCCTGAAATTCCTGGTGGAGAGGTTCACTCTGTTATAGCAGATTAATCTAGAGACTGGAGCAAACTTGAGAATATTTTTGACCTCCGAAGCCTTTTAGTTTCCTGCTTCTTAGCAAATGTGCTTAAGTGTTTTATGACTTATATATGTATAAATAATTCCTTGAAGAATTTGTTTGAAGTGTTAATTGTGGCTGTCTTTGAGGTCTTGAGTATGAAAGAGACTTTATTATTATATTTTTGTATAGTTGAAGACAAATTTATTTTTTACTGCATGCATTTTTTTTATCTTGGTAAACTATTTTAGGGTGTTGTATTCTAAAGTTATTTGAATACTTTATGGTTTTATTTTTTAGTCATGATGAAGATGAAATCCGGCCTGTGCAACAGCAAGACCTGCATCGGGCAATTGAAAAGATGAAGAAATCAAAGGATGCAGCATTTCAGAATGTTTTAACACATGTTTGTTTAGATTAAGAGTAAAGATCGTTTGTACAGTTCAGTGATCTAGTTTGGTGTGCCCTCTTATCAGTTAGTGAAAGGTGTACTCTTAATACAGTGAAAGAGTCCCACGTTTATGGTTTTATACTCTGAATTCTAAGTTATTGAGGTATAGTTGTTACATAGGTGGTATTACTACTTGTCAAAAATCATGAAGAGGAACAATTTAATCCAGCCCAAGAGCGGGTGCTTGTATTTGACTTCTTTAGCCATATGTTGTCACAGCCTTATAGATTCTAAACTGAAAAGAATAAGTGATCCATTGAGTCATTAGTGAGAAGTGGGGATGTGGTTAGGTGCTGGTTCTAGATGTGTATGTCTGTGTGTGTATGTGTATATATTGTGTATATATCGACACATTTTTTATTGATATTCTGTAGATATGTTTGAATACAGAAACTTTTTTTTACCCCACCCACTGAATCCAAAAGTACCAAATAGTATATAGCAAAACCAAGATTTAAGGTTGTATCTTTACAAGGTACAGTAATGCAGCCATTTCTAGTGGTCATTTGTTTTAGCCTTTTCTAAGTTGAGCACTTCTCGATCTGTAGTTGATTAGTTGAGTCAGGCACATCTGAATATATATATGTGGCTTAATCATAATGGTTATAAGGATAATCATATAAAAATACTTGTTTCGGCAGACATATGATCAATACTGATTTCAACTTTTTCAGCAGTCATTAAGAATTTTTAACAGATTTTACTTTAATATACATGAAGGTGGATTGAAAACCTTTGAAAAGAATGAGTTTGAAAACCTTTAGTACTCTTTAAGACGTGAATATGACTTTCCTTTCTTCTTTTAATTTAATAAGTAGTTCTGTTGTAACCATGTGTTTAAAATGCCATTAAAAGTTATGTTTTGTAAATTATGGTCAAATATAATTTGATCACCAGAAGTGAAATAATAGTTTTAAGTACATGTGACTAAATGTGCTAACAATGCTCATTTTGTAATTTTAATTTTAAAATTTTTCTCAGCTTCCTCTAAATTATGGCCTCTTCAGGTACAAATGTACGGATCAAATTCACACATGTGGAGTCCTTTGTGACTACATTTATGATATTACATGTTCTACATATGAAACATTGTCTTGTCTCAAATTCCCCTAACCAAATTTTGTTGCAGGCACCTAAACACCCAGCATGAGGAAAATGGCACAATACAACCTTTAGGTGCCTTCTGCATCATCAGACAAATTGTTTCAGATGCATTTGTTTTTATTATATTTATTTGAAAATGCCATCTGGGTTCATGAGTTATTGAATTAATTTAGTTTATCTAATAATGCTTCTCACAAAAATATTGAATAGTGTTTTTCATTTGTACTTTGTCAAAGAGAGTTTGGAGGACAATGCTTTCAATAGCAAAAGACAAATTATGCAAGGTGAAGATGATGAAAAATGAGTGAAAATACAAGATACCAAAAATAAAATTTTCCCATTTTTAATAATTATATTACTATTTTATAAATGCATAATAAAGGGTGTCCTGCCTTGTTGATTTTTCTCCACTTAATCTGTGGTCTTGTCAGTTAAATCTTACGGGGCTTGGGGTTTATAAAACTTGTATTTGGGCAGTTTTTATTTTGCATACATTTTAGAATCTAATCACATTCTGTTTTAATACAAATTACAGTAATTGTTTAATCTGATAACTAGTTGATTAGAAGTAGTAATGTATCCCTCCTTGTGTCCTTTCTTTTTATCTTATATTCAATTCAGAATATTCAGTTGTGGCGGTTACTGAATGTGTTTGGTTAGAGAAGTACAGCAGCCCCCCACCCAGGACTTACCTAGACATGTTAAGGCTGCAAAGTCAATCAGCAAACTTTTTCTGTGATTTTAAAGAACTTTTAGTGTTAAATAATATCTATCCTTCTGTTTTAGACATACCATCATGTCTGCAGTTAGATCATAGTTCCAACATGTTTTGCTTTTGGTAACACAAATATATTGCATCTAGAATGAGACTTCCCTAGTCTAACTCTACACTCCCCATTCATTCACTGTGCCCTTGGACTAATTGCCTCATTTGGTTTATTTGAGGGTGGGGCTCACTGTGTTGCCCAAGCTGGCCTTAAACTCCTGCACTCAAGCGATTCTCCTGCTTCTGCCTTCTGAGCAGCTAGGGTTACAGGTGTGTGCCATCACACCTGACTGCTCCGCTTAGTTTGAGCGTGTTTCTCGTCTGTAAGTGAGGCAGTGCCACCTGCCTGAGCGGGTGGACGGGGAGGCAATGCCCGGAGGGCAGTTAGCACAGTTACTGCTCAGATGTTAGCTGTCCCGTTACTGATGGTGTTACCTTCACATACTGACCCGCATATCCTGTTAAACAGCTTCAATCTTTAAGCATTTTGATGCTTTAATCATTTTTACCATCCCTATGCCTATAGTGTAGGTGTTGAAATTAAAAGACTCACCTGTGTGATCTAAAAGCATTGTTGGAAGATTTGTGGTAGGTGTGGAGTCTCATGCCATTCCTGTGCCATTTTAATCAGAGATAAGAGACTTTTTGAGTCAATTTCAGTATTGCCTTTTCTTTTCTGTGTTATCTAGCCCCCTCAGTTAGACTTACAGTTCATCTGCAGAAGGGCTGGGATAACCTAAATATTCTTTGTGGACCATTATAACCTAACATTATTTAGTGTCTGTCATTTACAGGCTTGATGCTAGATGAGGATGTTTCAAGCCTTGATGGTGCTTATGTAAAAACAGTAGCAGCATCTCACTAGAAGAAATATTTTTACTGAAATTGTGTTTTTTGTGGACAAATGCTACAGCTTTCTTCTGCATCAGAAAAATAAAGTGGATAATACACATTTTATCTTATTTTATTTATTTGTTTTTGGTACTGGGAATCAAATTGAGGACCTTGCACTTGCCTGGCAGGTGCTTTGCTGCTGAGTTATATCCCTGGCCTGAAAATGCACATTTTATAGTATTCTGTTTAGCTTCTCTTATAGTCTGCATAACTAAAACTCTAGTATTAGGTATCTCAAAGCTATAGAATTCTTCCACCTAGAGCTAACAAGTACTCATAAGCTTTCATTATTAAATTTGTTACCAGTTTGGTCAGCAAAGTCCTGTAATCTCTTGTAAAGTTCTGTTTAGAAAAGTAATTTTTTTTCCAAATTTTATTTGAGACAAAGTGTCCCTGTGTAGTTCAGACTGGCCTTGAACTCATTATAGTCCAGACTGGCCTCAAATTTTTGGCAGTCTTCCTGTGTCAGTCTTTTGAGTGCTGGCATTATTATGCCTGGCTTAGGAAACAATTCTGGCCCAGTTATGCTCATGAAATGTCTTCAGGAAAACTTGAACCTTATGAAATATGGTCTCCTGACTAAACACAGACATCGTATGTACATAAGATCAAACCTAAGAGAAATCATTTTAGCAGTGTGAGTAAAAATTAGTTTATTAACCCTAATAAACTTGCTGCTATTCACGTTGATGACATAAGAGTCTCATGGGTAAGTCACTGAAGCAGGAGTGTTTTTTTAAATTTTTTTTTTGTCTTTTTCCTTTTTTATTGGTACCAGGGATCGAACGCAGGACTGCCTGCTTGCAGGGCAGGCGCTTATGCCGCTGAGCTAAATCTCCAGCCCCAGCAGGAGTGTTTTTTGTGATTGTCTAATATTTATGGAAACCTGCCTGAGAACTCTTACATACTGCGATAAGTTCTGTGCATTGAAGTAAGTTCTGGTAAATGTTAGTGGTGAATCCAGAATGTGTCAAGAGCAGAATTTTAAAATAAAAGCTAAAACATTGAAGTAATCACTGACATACAGCATCAGAACTGAGACTAGAACACACAGTAGTGCTTATGACATGTTCTTCTGAGAATGCATCAATTCTAGAAATAGTGTACATAGAAAATGGCCTCAGAGATGGGTTTCATGCCTCAGTTGGACAACAGGTTATATATTTCTTCTAGTATGGCAACTTACGTCAGAACTCTTCCCCAAAGTCAAAATGACTATGAAAGATAAAAGTTTGGAATTGATTCAGAATATTGAGGAGCTCTAACAGCATAACTAAAGACTTCCAGAATTGCTTTATAAAGTGCCAAGATGATAGGGTTATGGGATCTGATAAGGTGTATTTTGAGGTAGTCTACCGGTGCTGTGCCTTTTACTATAGTAGTTTAATTTTTCTAAATGTTCACTGTATTTTTTTAATCACATTATGTCTGAGTTTGCCAGGTCATGCAAAAAGAGGTATTCAGTCAAAGGAGATGGCATTGTGGGGAGTGATGCTGGACATAAAAAATAACAAATGGTCAGTGCACCGCGTGGAACCATGGGTGCTTGCTGAGGGTAAGGTGCTGCGAGGGTGAGCACCCACATCTGTTGTTTGCCAACAGGCCTGGAGGTGGCAGCAGCTGCTTGGCTGGATTCTGTAAATCCTGCTTCCACTTGTTGATGGGAGTGCTTCTTGGCTTCCTGACATGCCTAGCACTCCTGAGATGGGTGTGTTGGTTAATTCTACTTGTCTGTTCAGCTGCATTGATTCCTGGAGTGGTGAGACCAGATTAAGAGACTCATGGAGAAGAGCCTGGGTTTGAAGAGCACTAACCTCATCAATGGCTTTACCCTTCGATGCGTTCATAGTTGAATGGGCGTCACTCTGTGGGCCTCTGTGGATACAGTGCATCGTGATGCTGTGAACTTGAGGATTGTGCTTGGCCCTGGGCTGCTGCTCAGGCTTTTCCTGTGTGTTCTGCTTCCCAGCTGTCAGGAAATGAGCACCTTTGCTGTACCAGGCCTTTCTACCATGATCTCCCTGCCTTGGAGCTAGCTGACCATGGATTATACCCCAACATAGGAGCCAAATAAACCTCCTCTCCTTTCAATTTCAAGTTTCAAGTATTTATGTTCCAGCAGTGAGACAGCTGACTGATAAAACTTTTATTTGTAATTTTAAAATTTTATTCCAGATAATAACTAGAAAAGAAAGATGGGAATTGAAATATAACACTGGTTTTTGTTTATTTTATTTCCAGGAAGTACAAGCCCTTCCCTCTGACCCGTTAAGACCTAGGCAGAATTCGGTGGAATTAATTCATTACCTGCCCATGTAGCAGCTCTTCATTGTTTTTGATACCCACACCCAGAAGTTCACCAACAGTAGTGAAACCTGGCAAGAAAGACTTTACCCCTGAAGGGCGTTTCTCTAGAATCTAGTTCACCAAGAATTTTGTGCATCCACTGTCCTTTGCTAACAGCATAGAAAAGTATTAGACTAAAATGTTCAAATAAAATGTCTATCAGACTGAAATGTCCAAATTAGTAAGTGATCCATTTATTTTTAATAGTACCTTCAATAAAGTCAATATTAGCCAAAAAGGAAGTTCTTTGGAATGTGTATTGTGAGTTGCCTGTGCACCATTTCCATCATTTGGCGAATGTACTGTGAATAGCATTTATCAGAGTATTAATGTATGCCAGGGGAAAGAGGTTAGGAGTTATTTCAATATATAGTCAAGTCTGTTATCATGCCTATTTTATATCAGAGAGCGGAAAACTTAATTCCATAGGCAAAAGCTGAACTGTTGCTCCATCACACCTTTAGACATAAAAACCCTTGAGCCATCTGATGCCCTTGTAATTTCCTGCTCTCTTGCCTATAAGGAAAGTTATATTGCAGACAAATACCAAACCTTCAAGTACATCATAGAAAAGAGAAAGATTAAAAACAGTGAACTTGATGCTCTCCAGGATTGCTTCTTGCAAGGATGATGGGTTGGAAAGAAATATAGTAGACTGGTGAGAGTGTTTGTGTATTTATAAGATCTGCCATCATCTAACCAAATGATTTACGTGTACCTTTCTGAGGTTTTTATTCACAGTGTTGGAGAGTTTGACATACCTAGCACAGTTTATATCTTACTTTTCCCTCACCTATTTTGTCCTGCTAACTGGCACGAGGAGACATCCAGTAAGACGTGGAGACAAGAAGGAGAGGCTGTCACAGCTGTTTAATTTGGGAAGAGAATCAGTAAAGATTTGCATGTACTGTTCAGGACAAAAGAGAACCAGAGACTCAAAACTGCAAGCCTTATGGCCACTGAAAGTGTGAGTGAAACAGGTGACTTTGTGAACACAAAAGTTGCTTGTGGAGTTGCAGGAATTGCTGAGGAAAACAAAACACCTGTAACTACTTCCAGTCTTGCTAGTGAAAGTTCTGGGGACACTTGGAGAATGAGATTTGTGCCTTTGACGAAGAAAGGAGCAAGAAAGATGGCTTCATTCATCAAAGTGTGGTCCTCCTGTGGTGAGATCCCAGAGAGACCCCTGAACACCCAATCACCGCCAAAAAAAAAAAAAAGAATGTGTCCTTTATATCTAGAGCACATGTTAGAAAATAACACAAGTGAGGGAACTTAATTACGGTCTCCGAGATGCTGCTGCGGTCTTTTTCCAGTTGGACAAAGTCACAAGGCCCACGAAGGTCTTGTGATCAGTCCATACTGGGTGTTGCAGGTAAAACAACTTAACCTTTATTTTGAGAAATTTATTAAAATATGGGCAAGCATTAGTTGTACACAGAAATAGTCATTTGCACTAATGAACAGAAGAGCAGTTTAAATGTATTATTAAAAATATATATAGCTAAGGCACAACATCCTTTTCTACAAGTTTGCTGTTTTTTAAAAAGGCAATAGTATAAATGAATATTGGTACTGAAGGACAGACTTTCCTGTGGCCATTGTATGTAATTTCTCAAAACAATTATTATTCATTAGCAAAGACTAGCATTTTTAAAAGATGGACAATATGAAATAAATCACAGTTTCCTCTTTACAATTGAGGTCCCTTCCAGAAAGCCATTATATATAAAAGATGTCTCTTTATACATTCATTGGCAAAAGTGAATTATACATAATGTAGAAAATACACCTTTCAGAAAATAAAGGCATCTCAGGATTTCTTAGAACAGCTTGAGTCCTTGGGAAAGTGTTTTCAGCTGCAGTAAAATAACAAAGTCTAGAAAAGCCCAGTCATTTCTATATGCAAGAAGACTGCTTTTTAAGTGGCCCGGATCAAGCAGCTTCGGCCCCAGGGTGGAATCACTGGCGCACTCGTTCAGGGCCACCAATACGTCCCACTTTTGTGCTTTTGTTACAGTGTTCAGCAGCTCATGGAGCTGCACTGCCTCTAAGATGAAAGGTTTGAATTCTGTATTTTTGTGGTCTTTTCCTGTTCTAGCGCCTTGCTAGTCTTGTGTGAATGCTTTGTGGCAACAAAGCTGCTGTTGCCGCTGCTGCAGTGGAACAGGTATGTACCAGCTGCCTGTAGGTTATAATGATCACAGCAAAGGGGGGGGAGGGGAAGTAGCTTTCCCCAGATAGCCAGATTGTTTGATCCCATGTAACAAATCCTGTCATCAAAACACTATGACAAGTCACAATGTTGGACTTAGTCACAAAAGGCCATTGAGACCTCTCTTACTAGACAATATAACTTTCATGAGAGAAGTTAGACTGCGTTGATCTATAAGATTAACATTATCATACATTTGGTTTCTCCAATCAGGTCTTCAGCACTTAGGTTATTGGGCAGTAAGGCTGTATACAGTCTTGTAAAAGGTGGCAGGAATCTTGGTGTGGTCCAGATCTCCAGGAGGAGGGAGTTATCCAGGAAGGAAGAGGAGTTCATCTGGTTTATTTTACTAGTGGGCTATGATACTCGGGTAAGATTAAGCTGGAAAATATGATTCCATTGTTGATATGTTTTGACACATGGTCAAAGCTTTAAGAAATCTGGAACCTAGCTGCTCAGAAGTAATAGGACAGTGTAGCTAATTTCACTCTGAAATGTATAACAATATTGCTTTCACCTGGTAAGAATTTTATCTTCATATACATACATTTGTATATTAGTTGATTTTAAATTATATGCACAATTTTACTACTCATAAAATACTTCAAAATCAGTCACTGAGAAACAATTGGATACAAAACATCTAATCACAAAAATAGAAAAGTAATCAAAGAGCACTTCAGGAAGAAACTTTGGAACCAAAGAGCATTCAGTTGATCTTCTCCAGGGACCTATAATAATCTGTCAGCACCTTCCATGCTTTGGGGGCCATGAAGCCATCTGGGGGATTCTCTCCTTCCCTGGCGAGCTTCCTCATGCGAGTTCCTGAGATGAAGTCAAACTCATCGTGCCTGTCATGTACAGCAACAAAGAACTCAGTACAGGCAAGTAACATTGCCTTAAGGATTCCTGGGATTAGGTTATGGGTTTTGAGATCGTAACCTAACATTTTGTAAAATCTCATGTCTTTGAAAATGTGCAGAAGAAGGGAAATAACGGCTATATATTCAGTATTTCCCCTGCACATAATCTGGAAGTAACTTTCCTATTTTTCAGCCTACTTCTGTGAACTCACAGCCTGGAAAAGACGAAATGCACCGCAGATACTCAAATCTTTTTTTGTTGTTGTTACTTCCTTTTGTTTAATGTGATGGACATACGTGGTGAGAGGAGACTTTCTTATACCCTTAAGCCTGGGGTCTAACTCGTGCCATGCAAACATTCTGCCACTGAACTACATCCCCATCCCTAAAGGAAGTGATACTGATCATCTGTGTACAGGGGGCCATGTGCCACTTCAAGGGACACAAAATGCATAAGACCAGCTTATGACTTTCACGAGACTCTGATTCCAATTGGGACTATGTGGAAGTGGTCTGGAGAGTTTTCTGTTTTTTGTTTTTTGTTTGGTACCAGGGATCGAACTAATGAGCTTGCCCAGCAGGCGCTTGTACTGCTGAGCTAAATCCCTGGGCCTAGAGAGTTTTCTGAAGGATGAAAACTTTTCCTCATCATCCCATTTGTAAAGATGTTGATTAGATAATTTTCCTTTGAAAAACTTACCTTTCTGGATTATAGAAGTCCATAGCCTTTTTGACTTTATTGTAGGCAGCCACACGGAATGGAATGATTTCCACAGAGGTGAGGCCAGGTGCCATGCTCAGGACCTTGCCTCCATGGGTGGGTTCATACAGGTCCTTCTTGGTCTCAGGGTGGGGCATTCCTGCAGGATCCCTGCCCACAATGTAGAAATTGGCACCTGCTATCATCCGGCACCTGCAGTGCCACTGGACCTGGGACACATTATGTAAGGGCTGTTATGGGCCAAGTGTACAGGTTTCTGTTTACACAGACTAATTCTGCTTTAATAGTAATTCAGTGACGCAGGTCGACTAAAAGTTGCAGGAAAGTCAGTGAGTCCTAGGACTTCATGGTCTCTTCTTTAGACCTAGATTGCTTAGGGTGGGAGTTTAAATATATACTTTGTATGAATCCTCCTCGTAGAAGTTGAGGTTTTCTTTATCTCCAAACAGGATAGCACATCAGGAATACTTAGCTATATAAGTGCTCTACTATACTGATTATTTTAAAAAATTTCCTCTACTCTGATAAATCACAATTTAAAGGGAATTACAAACTCACACCTCATTTGACTGCCGGTAATTAGCTGATCACCTTTCATATTCAGACACTGAGTCCATTCAACACAACATTTGCCCTCTTCAAAACTCAGAAATACAAACGATGGAAAGGAAAGCTAGGGGCCTCGGACTTTGATATGACTGAAGAGAATTAACTCATTAGGCTCAGTTTGGGGTATTCGAAAGAGCTAAGACCCTTTCAGTTCATCATACTTCCTGGAAACTCCTCCAAGCCCACTACACTGCAAGTGTAGTGGGATAAAGCACATCTGTTTGACAGACTCGCTGTGTTGTGATGAAAGGGAGACCTCTATCTTTAGAAGACAACCTCTCCTTTCTAACAAAATCACAGGGCATTGTGCATGGAATAGAGAAATGATTGTGAATGTTTTAGAGACCCAGGGCCCAAACTGCAACCCATAACCCACTTACTGCTAAGTTTCAACACTACAATTAAACCTCAACTAAACTGAGGTTTTAGTTTAGAAAAAACAACTTTCATCTGGTATGAGCTGCTGGGTCAGTCTGGCTCATGTGCCAACGGTGAGAGCTCGGTGAACTCGCCACGGCACACAGGCCATCCATCCATCACCACGGTCATAGAGTAACTGGAACTAATGACACTATTTGTTAGATACAGCTTGCCCTACATCCCAGATAAGCTGTGTTATCTGTCTTATTCTGTGTGAACTTCCATATCCTCAAGTCAATATACAATAGGTTTGACTTGGCTATTTCTAGCATTTTTTATAAATACAAAGTAGAAACATTATGAAATTGAATAGAAAAACCTGCCCATGAAGAAGAAAGGATCCCAGAGTCTCATTTAATCTTCTAACTGAAGTTCAAGCCTGCATCCTGAGTCTGACAGTCCAGCTCAGGAATTGCTCACCTCCGTGGGGCCCGCGTATAACATAGGAGATGGAAAAATGGCAACAATGGTTGACTTGGGATCCAAGACGCCCTCCTCCAGCACAGCTGTGTGCTGCTTCATTCTCCAGTCCAGAGGCACATCGTCATCCTTGGTCCAGCCCCCCAGCGGGTGCAGCAGGAGCACCGGGTGCTTGTAGCCCCTCTCCAGGAGCTGCCGGTGGGTGTCCTGCATCAACAGAGCGTGGCCATTGTGGACAGGGTTGCGCAACTGGAACGCAAACACCGCATCTAGGAAAGAAAAGCCAAGGTCAGGAAAGGTCAGCAGCATTGTCTGCTCAGGAACAGAAAGGAAAGATGAAACATTATTTTTCTGTGTGTTCACGGAATCTGCTCGCTTTCAATGATCAGCTGGAGAACCTATCTGGGCTTTTAGGGATGTTAACACTACTAACCAATGCTAAATTGCACAGATAGGGTAAAATACAGAGGCAGGAAGCAGTTACAGGATGAAAGCAGTTGTTGGCAGGGTGTTTGCTGCAAACCATGGTTTAGGGAGGGTCAGTGTTAATCAGTTCCCTTGTGCTTCACTACTGTCTCAGGTTGCCAGGGTATTAATAATCATAGGAATGCTTTCTGGGGCAAAAACAGGACAATAATCTACTGATATAAATCTCAAGATACAAGGCTTTGCTTTAAAGAAATCTTTTAAAACTTCTCCACTTAAATTAGGCATGAACACATTCTTATAATACTAGCACTCTGAGAGGCTGAGGCAGGAAGACTGTAAGTTCAAGTCTGGTGTAGGTATCTTAGTGAGACCTTGTCTCAAAATACAAAAAGGGCCAGACATACTGGTGTACTCCTATAATCTCAGAACTCAGGCAGCAGAAGCAGGAGCATCACCATGAGTTCAAGGCCAGCAATACATAGCACAAAGGCAGCCTGAACATAGCAAAAGCCTGTCTCCAAAGAACAAATTAAATAAACAAACAAAAATTAAAAGGCATGGAGATGCAGCTCAGCGCAAAGTCCCTGAACACAATTCCAGTACAGTAAAAACAAAAAACCACTACTATACTTGGTGAAGAATTCCTAAGAGCATTAACCTTTTTCTGGCTGTGAAGTATAATTAATATGTATTTATTACAGAAAACTTGGAGAATACATTAAAGCCTAAGACAGAATATAAAAATCACCAGTAATGCTTTTATTTTATTATCTTTCTTTCAAATGTAGAAAGAGTGACAATCTTGGCTTCCTCCTTAGCCCAGCTGCTCCCCAAGAGGTGGCTACTGTCCTCTGCCATTTGGTGCACAGACTACCAGAGACTGTTATTTAGTTTTCCAGAATATGATTGTACTGTTCATATTGTTCTGTAAGTTGCTTTTTCACTTAATAAGTATATTGAGATATCTTTCTATCAGTGCATATTTGCAATGGTTGCATAGTGCTCCAGGATATGAATGTAGTATAACTTTAAACTATTTATATCATAGATATAACGATATATGTTTATATTTTTAAGAAAATACTGATTCGTTTCCTTAACTCCTTTGCAGAGAGTGTGGACAGACGCCCTCCGGCCAGGCTACGTACCCGCGTTCATTTCCTTGCACTTCTGCTTGAGCTCCAGAGGCGTCAGGCGGTACTTGTCCAGCCCATCATTCCACCTGATTCTCTCCAGCACCTGCAGGTCTCCACCAACCAGCCACTCTCCACTCTCCATCACCATCTGGAAAGAGTGTTACTAAAGTCGTTAATGAGTAACATGATTTCTGTTTTATCTGAAAACATTTCTCTTCCTTTGGGACCAGTCTTGGGTCACTGCCTTCAGCTCTTTAGCGTTTCTAGTACAATATTTCTCACACTTTTTAGTCTTTTGACCTAACTATGTTCTTAAATATTGAAGACCTCCCCCGCTAAGAGCTTTTGTTTATGTAGATTATAGCTATAATAACTTGCTACACTAAAAATTAAAATGGGAAATGTTATAAAACTTAATTTATTTAAAACAACATTAATAAATCCATTATCCATTAACATAAACAATATTTTTAGTGAAAAAAATAAGTATTCCTCCTCATCCCCCAAATAAGGAGCATAGCATTGTTTTACATGCTTGCAAATCTCTTCAAGGTCTGACAATAGAAGGGAGCTTGGTTTTCATATCTACTTCTGTGTTTAATCTATGATGGTATCTTGTTTTGGCTAAGTAGATAAAGTAAACCCAGCTATAAGTAGGTATTGAAAAAGGAAAGAAGATATGAATAACCTTTTGTAAAATTATGGATATTTTTCTTTAATTCTATACCAACATGCAGTGAGTACTCATTTCTTAAAGCTAAGTTGCATTGAAATCTGAAACTTCTGCATAGTGAAACCCTATCTTGAAAAAAAAAATGAAATCTGAAACTTTCATGAATGCACTTTTCATAGTCTGTTATATTATGAATTCATTGTGCTTTGAATGAATCTTTTACTCACAAATGATTTTGTAACATAATATATTGGTCAACTAGAAAATATTGGTCAACTTGCACTTGCTGACACATTATTTGATTTTTAAACACTGGTAGTGGTGGTACTAATCTCAGCAGAAGATTTCTAAGCTGCCAAACTCCTTGTGGTGAATGAAAGTTTTCCAGTTTTCTTTGCTTAAGATCTCAAGGCTAATCACTGGGAAGTAATGTTCTGTTCTTTTTGTAGACATGACAGGACTTTGTTCACTTTGAAAAACTGCCTGCCAAATATCCAAGTCTGAACAACCACACATTGTCATCCATTCTTGCAATAAAAAGTATCATGGGAGGTACAGGAAATGCAGCTAGCTTTGCTCCAGCTTAGTCACGCAAGTACTTTTCTTTAAGCCAAATTATATATATATATATATATATATATATATATATATATATATATCTCACAGAAGTACTTCAGTGTGGACTCCTTTTTTTGTAGCAAGATATGAAAAAGACACGAACTCATGGGTCAAGATATAATAACTTTTTTACAGCTTTATCAAGAATCATTCACAAATGAAGCTGGCATTTTTTTTTTACTGCAAGTTTCTGGTGTTAAGAGTAAAGGGACCACACTTCATTGTTTCTCATCTCTCCAGTCTAAGATGCCAGCAGTTTTGCCCACTCTAGTTTTTGTACAGGCTGTCAAGACAGTGAAAAGGACAAATAATGTCTTACTATCATTAGCATAGTTTCAAGTTTGGAAAGTTTCTGGATCAGTCATAGATTCCTAGAAGGTGTTGTGAACCATACTTTTGGAATGGTTGCTAGCACATTCCTAATACAGCCTAGTGTATCTTATATCTCATTAATGTATGAGTGGGGCTCAGAGGACTTGGGGAAAATTCAGACAAGTTAGTTTTCTACCACTTAATTATTTTGGGACATAATTTCTATGGAAACTCTCAAAAAATGCAGCCTCCTTCACTTACATCTGTTTTAAAATTAAAAATCTCTGAAGAGTACCAAAATCAACACCTAAGGCTAAAAACAAGAATGTTAGCTAAACCTCTGTGTTCTCAAATGACCTTCAAGCAGGGTGCCAGGGACAACTCTCAGGAGCAAGGGGTGGGAGGAAGATTATCTTCAACAAATGTATGGGGGAAACTAGGTCCCCACATGCAAAAGAATAAAGCTAGACCCTTACACCTTACACAAAAATTAACTACCAGTAGATTAAAGATATAAATATAGGATCTTAAAACTCTTATGAAAAAAAGTAGGGGTTCCAAGATACTTGATTTCTTGAATCTGGCCCAAAAACACAAGCAAAAAAGCAAAACTTAGACAGATGGAATTACTTCAAAACTTAAAGCATTTATGCATTAAAAGACACAGTCTACAGAATGAAAAGGCAACCTATAGAATAAGAGAAAGGATTTGCAAATCATGCAATGTGGTAAGGGGCTGATATCCAGAGCATAAAGTGCTCCAACTCAATGACAAATCACCCGACTTAAAAATTGGCAAAGGATTTGAATAGACACACAGTGGGACCTCACTTCATAAGCTTAATTCTCTCCAAATTGGACAAGAACTGAATCAATGTTCCCCGGGAGGTCCACAGTGAACCTGACCACTGAATTTGATCCAGTTCTTGTCCAATTCCATTTATGACCAGAATTGTAGAAAGAATTAAGTTTGTGAAGTGGGCCACCACTGTATCTCTGAAGGTTATCTACAGTAACCAAATGTGAAAAGAAGCTCAACATCACTATCCTAAGAGAAATACAACCCAAAGCTCGGGTGAGGCTTTTCACCCCCATTAGGATGCGTTTATCGAGAAACAAACAGAAAACAAGTATTGGCAAGGATGCAGAGAAACTGGAACCTTTGTATGCTAGGACAGTAAAAGCTACAGCCATTATGGAAAACAGTATGGAGGTTCCTGAAAAAAATTAAACATAGAACTGCCATATGACCTAGCAGGCCTACTTCTGACTGGAGGTGGTGGTGCACGCTTGTAATTTCAGCACTAGGGAGGCTGAGGCAGGAGGGTTGCCATGAGTTCAGGCCAACCTGGGCTGTGTAGTGAGTTCAAGACCAACCTGAGCTACATAGTGAGACCCTGTCTTAAAAGATGAGAGAGAGAGAGAGAGAGAGAGAGAGAGAGAGAGAGAGAGATCAATTTGCTCACCCATTTTTATAGCAGCTATTGGCAGTATCCAAGAGATAATAAGTGTGCATTAACAACTGAGTGGATAAATACAAGGTGGCATAAAAACCCTGGAATATCACTCAATCTTTAGAAAGAAGGGAACCCCATTAAATGCTACAACATGGATGTACCTTGGGTACATATGTTGAGATAAATCAGCTACAAAAAGACAAATACTGTCTGATTCCATTCGTACAGAAACAGTGTGGGCACATGAAATGTTAACAGAGGGGAGGGAGGCGGATGTGAGTAAGAGAGAGCTGCCTGCTTTCACACACCCGTGAGATGGCCCAAAGTGCTAGTAATGACAGTTCCCTTGTACGGCTAGAACTTAGAGTTCACAGTGACCTGCACCCCAGAGGGGCTATGGAAATGGGAGACTGGAGTAGTGGTGCCTCTGAGCAGAGGACTTCTTTGTCTGTCTCAGTGACATGTGACAACATCTGAAGACAATTGTGACCGTCACAGCTGGTATGAGTCTTTTATTGGCATCTAGCGTGCAGAGATCACAGATGCCCCTAGATATCTTACACTGCACAGGAAAGCCCCACAGTAAAGAATTATCTAGCCCCAAATGTCAGAAACCCAGGGCAGAAAGAAGAAAGTTCTGCAAGGGATTTGGTTTTGTATTTATGGCCCCTTTCTAAAGACTTGCTCAGGCAAATCACTGGAAAACAATATTTTCAAATACTCACATACATATAACGTTGACCTCATGGCTGACAGACCGCAGACAATTTTGAAAGCCTGACTCCCAAATCCCTGGTGGGGGTGCAGTTACTTCTTCTGAACGCTAGAGGTCAACCCTGCACTGCTAGGAGAGGCAGCGCTGAACTTCACCACTCACCCTGAAAGCAAGTGTGTTTGAAAAGCAACGCTGAAACTCTGCTTATGGTACTTGTGGAACGGAGAGAAACAGCTTTCCAAGGGCAGCCCTGTCTCCTAAGTGTCCTACCTATTCCCGGAGCTGTGTCCAGCTGTCAAGAAGGAAGGCAAGTCCTGCTTGCGTAGGCAAAGGGCCACTCCCGGGGGATTACAGACCCGGAGCTTGGGGAGGAATGAGGAGCAGACAGGCCATCCGGTGCAGGGGCGGAGGAGGAGTGGGGTCTGCACTCACAGACAAGAAGGCAAAGAAAGGACACCGTGAACTCAAACAGGAGCCTGAAGGTGGAAGGACGCTGCAGTAAAGGGACTCGGCCTAAGGCAAGGGGTGCAGACTCCAAAGAAACAATCTTACAGCTTCTGCAGGCAGCCGAGCTGCAGCCCGGGCCCTAAAGAAACAATCTTGAGAAGATGAAAGGTGAGCGGAGGTCAGAACCAAGAAAGGGAGAGAGAAGGAAAGCACCCAGAATGGGGTGCAGGGAAGAGATTAAAAACAAAAAATTAAGATGCCACGAATGAAGCACATACATTCCTATCTGTGACATCTGCCACAGTCATGGAACCTGGCACTTTATGGGACCTGGGGATGACACAGGTTTAATGCCAGGCGAGAAGGCAGTTTTACAGAGAGGAAGTGGCAGAGGTCAAGTATTGTTCTACCAGAGCCAGGACCCAAGTCTAGGAAACAGGGAAACCGTCCTCTTCCCTCTCCACCTGGGGCTCTCAGGGCGCCTGGGCTCCTGCTTCAGCGCCACCCTCGGCTCATCGTCATGGTGCTGGTGGGACAAGCGCGCGCTGCTCTTAGAAGTCACAGAGGGCAGTGAGCCATGCTTCTGGATCCCAGGGGCTAAGGTGGGTTCTAAAAGGAGGAAAGGGAATGAGGTGAAGAGGTGGAAGCGGAGGGGACAGTGTCCTAACGGAGGGACCAACATATGCCAAAGGCAGAGACAGCGTGCTTTAGTGGTCACCCTGTAACGACTGGAGGAGGAAATGTATTGGGTGGAGGTATAAAGGCGCGTCAGACCTTGCTGAAAAGACTCCCAAATAACTGCTAACCACCTCATTCTGGATGAAGGGGCAGTGGGCTAGAGGGGAGTAAGCAAAAGGGAAGAAGTGAAAGGACGCAGCCCGAGTGGACACAGAAGAGGAGTGAACAGCTGAATAATACCTGGCAGCAGAACTGCTAAAACTTGGTGATCGTATGAGCCAGGGAAGACAGAAGCAACAACGACATCCAGGCGCTGGTGCTTGGTCACACTGGATGGTGGGGCTGTTGGTGAGACGGGACCGAGAGTGGAGCAGGAATGGGGGGAGACACAGGGGCGGAGTTTGGATGCTGAGCTGAGCTGTTTGAGAATTATGCTGTTGGCTTCAATTATTTATCTGATCATTTTTTTCTGACCATGATGATATAGGTTTGGGTCTTATCTTTTCCTAGGGACCCCATGATAACAGCTTCCATCATGCCAGCTCAGATGTTTCTACACCTAGAGTCCAGCCGACACATTAACATGACTTGGACAGAGAGCTCTGAGGGGTCTGAAGTGACTACTTCTTTCTCTTCATCTCATCTTGCAGTGTAAGTCAGCACCTGGAGTCAAAGTGTTTTAGTAATCAGAATAATGTCATGTGGAGCCATACCGGAAACAGTTCCAAAAAATCCTCTACCCCTCACAGCATATTCAAATTGTGAGAGCTCTAAAACCTCCAAGCCAAGTGCATCAGAGTCCATGAGGGTGGGATTTAGTCATGGGTCATTTATAATGCTCTCCAGGTGTTTCTGTTGCTCTAAATGATCTTACTTTGGAGCTAAAGGATACAAAACCTCATTTCTGTCCTCATTGGGAAGTCACATTTTACTCTCTTGCCTTTTACATCTATAAAATAGGAGTGATGATTTTGTTTCACTTCATAAGAGCACTGTGAGAAATGATTACTGCTTGGAGAGAGCCAATGGATGAAAGGGTAGGATTCATCGAAGAATTATATAATTTTTCAAGTTTCCTCTGTTCCTCCTCAGGATTATATCTGCAATTATATCACAGAGTTCCGTAGTTAGTGACTCAAGACAGTCCGTGAGTAGACAGGTCAGCGTTATCAGTGAAGAGCTACAGGACCGAGGCAGACATTAACTTGGCAACTCTGATCGTTTTCTGCAGCTATCGTTCCCAGGCCACATGGAAATACAAGGAGACCCATTATTACTTTTTAGAGTAACAACTTTTGGAAGGCTGTGGGTTCTTAAAAAATTTATATTAAGGCATGACTCTGAGTTTCAGGGTGCTAAACAACCACAATGAAGAGTTCTTTTCCCAATAAAACTCATATGTTCTCTGGTAAATGAAACAACCAACCTTCAACAACCAGCACATAGTACATGCAGAGTAAGTGGGTTTTTTCTCTCTGGTTATCCATAGCCCATTTCTCACCATTAGCTTACTGGAAATGTTTACAGAATGATCTGACACTACAAAGTCACTGACAGTATTGTCAGAGTCACAAGTCATGCCACTATTGTTCCTGACTCAGTCATTTCTCATTTAGTGACTGAGTTCTGGTCCTGTGACAAGGTCATTAGATGAACCGGTCACTAAATAAGGAATTGTATGTAGTATGTACATTACAATATTCAGAACAAAGAAATGGTCAAACAAAACTCCAACTTGGTGACTTTGCTTTTATTTGCATAACTCTTACAGTATTGTAATGTATAACAGAACATAAAACTACAGTACTGTACTGTACAGTACAATCAGCAACTATGGTAGTACTGGCCGGGTATGGTGACGCACACCTCAAGAGCCACCTCAAGAGGGTAGGAGGATCCCTGTAAAGTTAGGGCCAGCCTGGGCTACATAGTGAGTTCAAGGCCAGCCTAAACTACATAGTGAAACCTTGTCTCAAACAACAAAACAACCTCACTACATAAGAATAATTACTCTATTATATACACAAGGTATATTATACAAAAAAGACATTGAGGCTCTATGAACAAGATGTACAGAACTGTACAAAAAAAGAGTTTGTAAGTCCAAGGGGCAGGTAGTACGTCTCAAAGTTGTTAAAAAAGGTCGTTAAATGAGGAGCATCTGTACTAAGAACTTAGGCTAGTTACTGACCTACAGGACAAGATGAAGAGAAGGAACTAATCACTGAAGAGCTTCCCGGGAAAGTCATGTGGATGCGTAAGTTAGACTCCAGAAGGAGAAACATCAGTGGCCATTGTGAAGGCCACAATGAAAGGCCACTATTCCCTGGGTCATTAAGAGAAGATAAAATCGCAAGCCCATATGATTATGATCAAGAAAAAAACATTGCTGGAGATATAATTAAAGCCAAGTCCATAATTCTCAGCTTTGTGTCACCATCCAGTAATTTCAAGAACTGTCTGGCAAACTTTGAGAAACTGTGCAGATGACTTTCTCTGAGTGTGCCATGACTACTTATCCTGAGTGAGGTACCTGTGTCTAATTGAACTCTGTGTTCAGACTAATGAGGTGCCAGGAGTTTCTATCTAGAACATTTCACAGCTAAAAAGCAAACAAACAAAAACGTCATTTCTTGTGGGAATCGTGGGCTGGAAAAGACTTTAGACTGATTTGAGTCTATCCCCTGTGTTTGTCCCTGAGAAGCTGAGGTCCGGAGCGGTAACGAGTCTTATCCACCGCAGGGCTCCTGGGCACTGGGCACTGCAGGGTGATATTTGTGAACTTGCTGAAAGTTAGGCGACTGAGGAATTGAGAAGTGAAGCTAGTAGTGTATGTTGATTTTCATTCCCACTCTAATACCCTTCTCTTGGCTGAAGATGGTCTTTGATACAATTTCACATATTTTTTCTTAGAGGAAATGAACCACGGATAGCAATCCCAGAGTATCCCTCACTCTGACCCCATCACCAAAAGCAGATAGAAGCTGCAAAGCAATCCAAGGAAGTTTCCTCTATTTTGCCTATATTTTGCCTTTGGGATTTTTTTAGACAGATACTCACTATATACTTCAGGCTGGCCTTGAACAATGCTGTGTAGTGCAAGCTGCCCTTGAACTTTCCATCCTCCCAAGTACCAGGGATCACACGCAGGCACCACTATGCCTGGCTGAATGCATTTTTCACTGCTGAAAATATCCTTATGAAAATATTGTATGTTTTCTCTGGGAATTCAGCTACTATCTGTGCTGATTTTTGTCTTTTGAAAATATGTTAAATATGTCATTGATACTCTCTTGACTACAAAGCATGAACTTTTATTTCTCTTTGCAGTGGTTCATTGGACTTATTGTGTGTGAAAATATTTCCCTTGCGTATTTTCAAGATGAACAGGGTGCAAGGTCCAGTTACAGTTGTATGCATAATGACAGCCAAGGCTTTGGTCCTCTATTCATGATGTCAGACCACATTACCTACCTCATCCCATTTAGTTTAAGATGCAACCGTCACAGGATCTGAGGACTCAAGAGCTCACTGAGATCAGCTCTCAAACAGAAAAACATTTCTTTATGCCAACAGAAAACAAACAAAAAACCCCCAAAACTCCCAGGCTTGCAAAACCTACCTTACATGTGTCTTCTTCAATTGAACCTGTTTCTAAGTGCTCCATGAAGAAACTAAAAAGAATTGTTCTGTCCTCAGTTCAGATAGATCAAGAAAGCCCTTCCAAAGCTCCTGCAACTTACTTTGACATGGGGGTGTTTTGCAGATGATGTGCCCCACACACGACAACAACGTTCCTCCTTCCTATGCTCGTAGAATTCAGGGTCACATAAAATAGCCACCCTCCGTCCACCGTACATGAGGGCAAACTCGCTGCACCCTTCCAGCCGTGCCTTGTCATCTGCAGAGACGGGCAGCACGATGGGGACGCTCAGGTTGATCACTCCGTCTGTGGAGAGACCCATGGGATGTGTGAACGCCAGACACAAGGTGTGCTGTCTCTTGAGGGTGACTCAGATGCACAAGTACCCTTGCAGAAGAGCTCCTTCAAAGGCCTTCCACACCCAGCGCCTGCCTGGCTACGTCAGCTACACCAGCTTCTCTACAACCCTGGGGACTGCCAGAGGCAGGAGAGAAAGCGTGTGTGAAGAGGGACCTAGGGTCACATCACAAAGGTGGCCCTGGGAAGTGAGGAGGAGGAGGGTGTGTCTTCCTTTGGGGTTCCCTTTTTAAAGCTTGGTCCTGACCTCAATGTACGTGGAAGTTTAAAATCTTTAAAAATCCAATTAAACAAAATAAAAGTTGACTGAACAAAGCAAAAACCTCTAGTTTTTCTTGGAAATGAAACTTGAAACAATGTTGGGCAGCACCAACACAGTAAATTAAAAAGAAAGAAAAAAATTAGAGGGCTTCAAACCCATGGGGCCCCAAATAAGCAGGGCTCCTGACGTTCACTGTCCTTCAGGGGAGCGTCATCTTTAGGCATTTTGGAGGAGACTGGTAATCCTGCTTTCTTGGGAGTCAGAAGTCTAGCTCAACTATAATTGGTGACCATCAGTCAAAAAGTCTTGGAGGAAGCTGGGCACAGAGGTACACACCCACAATCGCAGCTACTTGGGAGACTGAAGCAGGAGGATTTCAACTTTGAGGTGATCCTGCGCTTCATAGATTCTATCCCAAAGCAAAATGAAATCACAGAGGACATTTTAAAAATGATATAAAGTCCTTCAATAAAACACATATATTTTCTTTAGAATGGGAGCCCTTGTCAACTTTACGCTGAATCTCTTACTTCAAAAGGAATTTGAAAAAATGGGGTTTCCTGATTTCTCAGTGTATAGTTCAATAAATCAGGAGGTACAGAATGTTCTATTCTGGGAAGCTACTTCTTCAGCAGCATAGAATGTAACTAGCTTACCCCAAAGGACGAAACAGGAAAACTATGAAAAAACAAAAAACAGAGAAACTGTTACGGTTAATTTTATCTATTGACTTGGCTAGGGCATGGATCCAGGCAGATTTTGGTCAAATATTATTCTTATGATTTCTGTGAAGATACCTTTAGATATTAGCACTTAAATCAGTACACTGTGAGTAAAGCAAATAACCCTGCATAATATGAGTGGGCCTCATCCAATCAGTTGAAGGCCTGAAAAGAAAAAATCTGATCCCTCTAGAAGAGGGACTTCAGACGGCAGAATGCTTTTGGATTTGGACTACATTCCTCCTCCAGGGCTCAGGCTGCCAGCCTACCCTGCAGATTTTGGACTTGCCAGGCCTTCTGAAGAACCCTAAAACAGAGACTAAAATTACAGTTATGAGGGTTCCCTCTGTGTAAGAGCGAGGGACCCCAATCCTTGGGGCACCATTATATTAAAACTTGGTTTAATGCCTGGCAGGACTAATGCTGGGATGACAGAGGCATTTTGAACAGTTCCCTTACACCTAGCAGCATCCCGAGGGGATGTCTGTCTGTCTTTCTTTCTTTGTTTCTTTCTTTTCTTTCTTTCTTGATAAATGTAAGATACAACAGTTAAGAATGTGCTTTTCTTTTTAGTTTGAGTCTTATAACAATTAAATTTGGCCCTTATTTCTTAATGATGCCAAATAATGTAAAGAAAAAATTATAAAACTGTGTGCCCCCCTCCCTCATTACTTTTTTGTAACAGGGCCCCTTATACTCTAATAAATATGTATGTTTTTTAGTCTAACATACGGAGTTATTTATGAATTTCAGGAAATGTATCATAAATTAATAAAGTCAATGAAATCTAACTTTCAAATCCAACAATTAGAATACCTCTGACAAAGTTAAAGATCTGAGTTCTATCCCTTTGGGGCATAAGGCTCTACCTTAGCAGCTATGAAATGAAACTTTTCAGATATATCACTTTGCATTTTTTAAACACTCTCCAAAACCTAAAGATTGTCACAGAATACAGACATCAACTGCTGTGACACAGCAAGTCCAGTCTATCATAAAACCCTCCAGCCTAAGCCACCAGTCAGAAAACTGTACAAAACCAAGGGTTTTGTTACATAACTCCTTTTGAATGTTCACAGTGATTAGAACAGTCAACCTCTTCGCAAAGTGAGCAGTTTTTCTACCTGCTAAGTGTGCCAGCTTAATTTCCTTATTGGAAAAATGGGATAGTAAATAATACGCATCTCCCTGGGTTGCTGTGGCCAATACTGCATTGATGGGGGATTAGAAGATGCTTAATCCAGCACACAGTCCAGTCACCTGAGGAACCGGGCGAGAGACTCACAAACAGCAGCACCTTTGAGGGTGCTGATGTCCTGATTAAAAATCTTCTTTTCTCTGGATTACTTAATAGTAGTGCTCAAGGGCCATAATGTTTCACTTTGCTGGTAGAGTGAGCTGACCAAAATAAAGTAAAACATGATGCAGAGCTAACAGTCCAGTAGGGTACTGGAGGAACCCTTGCCCTGCCTGCAATGCTGTCTTCCATAAGTTATTCCAAACTGAAATCCAAGGGGCCATTTCTCAGTCGCATCCTCCAGTCCACTGTGTTTCTGCGCAGTGTAGCCTCTCATCCCCCTTCATCTTGGCCTCGAGAAAACATCTGCAGAGACTAAGCAGTTGTCACGATCAGCGAGCTAAGCGGGGGACTTTACAGAGCCCAGATGCCTGCAGGTACAGCTCTGCCTGGGTTTAAACAGTCAACAGTGTCATTTTCCTCAACTTCTCTAGTTCACAAATTTTCCAAAGTTTTACTGCACTTAATGGCTCTAAACAAGGATTTGACTTCCAGCCTGCTCCTTCCTGTTTCCGCTCTGGTGGGAATGTATTGTTCATTTGATTGTAGCATGTCTCATTATGGAAGACTATTGTGGTTTTTAACCATGGTAAGTGCAACAGATAACTTCCTGTTAACTGATAATTTTCTTTTACTTTAATAATTTTCAAACCTTTTGTTTTAGCCGTGTACATTTGCTTATTCACTGTATAGACTGTTTCCATGCTAACACTAAATTAATGTTTTTTGGACAATTAGGCTTTTTAAGGGAAAACCAACAATGAAAACAATAGCAGTGATAAATGATATCTTCAGAATTTTACCTCTTAATCCTGGTATAATGCAGAAGTTAACAGTAACTATATATTTATTTCCATTTCTATAACTATCAATTATGATAGTTTAAAATTAAATTCATGCATAATCACACATTACAAACAAATGAAGCACAATCATACACAATCCAACCAGATGAACCCACTTTAAACTGTATGTAAAATGGATTGATCCCTTCATCAGCTAAAAACATTTTATAAACGTGATAGAAAAATTATTCCACATTTTTGTGAAACTAGAGAGGAATTAACAGTCATTGTGAGAAGATCACAATTTTAAAACTCAGGAACAAAATGTGCAACAATAATTTAGAAATAAATTTTTTTTGTTGATCAAACACACCATTATAAACAATAGCTTCATCAGATCCAGAAATTTCATATTATTTGAACCCCAATCAATAGAAAAATATAGTATTATTTTATTATAACTGGTTGGATCATGAATTGATAATGATTCCAACTGGTTAATGTAGATTATTTTTAGTCACATATCTTTAACCATTTCAAATTAATGTAACATATTTAATTACAATAATTGAGCTACTTGGAAAGTTAAAGTACATACCACGAAGGACCATGCCTAGAGAAATACAAACACAGTTAAGAAACATGTTTTCAGCTCTTCACAAAAATAATCTTAAAGCAATAGTATCAAAGAACAAGTTCCTTTTATGACACTCTTCAATTTACTAATACAAAACTTTTTGTTATCCTGTTTTTTAAAAATAGACTTTATGACACTAAACTCAGTAAAATCAGAATTTGCATGAAATATTGTTTGACACACTCAAAAGCATTGTTCAGATGATTGTTTTAAAAATAACTACAGCATACCTCAGTGGCCTGTCTAACACCAGTAAGAAATTACCTCCTGCAAACATGTGATGTTATAATCACTGCCAAATGATTTCCAAACTCAACTTTGGGCAGGGGACAGACACATACCACCTTAGAGTCCCAGCTGCTTATGGGGAAGTGGTAGAGCCCAGGTAACCTGGGTTTGAATTCCAATTTCAAGGAAGTTATTCAACTTTTTCAGCACTTTGTGTTTCATGTGAACACAATATGTTATGCAAATTCAGTGTGATCAACTACTTCAAACTCCAGTCACTGACACTTAGTGAGTGCTAGTGGTATCTACGGAGCACCCTCCCACTCTGCCTGGAGACTGTCATTAAATGATAGAGCCTTTTGAGGCTTCCGTGTTTTGATCTCACTTGGAGTCCATCAGTTAACACACACTTGATGCTTCATTTTTAAATTTATATGTTACCTTTGCTTTAATTTTTTGAGATAAGGTCTTACTATGTAATTTAGGATGGCCTTGAACTTGATGTATAACTCTGGCTGGCCTCAAACTCACAGCAATCCTCCTGCCTCAGCTTCTTAAGTGCTGTGATTATAGTTGTGTGCCACCACAGCCAGCTACATGTAACATGCATGACAGGAGTAGTATCTGTGAACTATTTTTCCAGTGAGAGATAAAGTGAAATCATACATTGATATAATACCAAACTTGGTCCTTGAATAATACACAGAATAATTCATACTCTCTGTAAACACTAACAAATGATTTGGGTTTTTGGTTTTGTCTTGTTTTGTTTTTAGACTGAGTAGACAGACTTATTCTTATTTTTAAATCAGGGGGGAAATGTGAACCTTTCAGAAAGTTAAAACTAATGAAGTACTTTTTAACAAATACCATTAGAATTTAAAAACGTTGCTTACTGATTGTAGGTGACAAAGAAATTTGTAGTTGTTTGATGATTGACCAAAGTAGCCATGTATCTGTGGCTACATAAAAACTTTTCAAATTTTCAGTGATGTATTTTCAAGGCTTCATGAATCAGTTAACATTAAATGGTATCATTAAATGGCAAATGATATCTTGTCCCACCTTCTGATATATAAATGCATTATTCGTTCTGAATTTTACTCTGCCCTCAGTCCAAAAGCCATCAGTTGAGCCAGGCAGCTCCAGGAGACTCGGACCAGCACCTTCAGATGCTTTCTGCACTGCTGCTATGGGGGGAAGCAGAACAGGCCTCCGTCCTAGGGAAGCAGTTCCACTTCACTCGCTGTATATGTTACCTCTGTATTACCTTGGATTTCACCCAAAAGTTTTTTGGCTTAAAACAAAGCAGCACAATCACTGATGTGATGCGAAGAAACCAGTGCTGTTGGGGTCAGAGGAGGAGCTGTCCACTAGGCACACATCTGTCCTCACATCCACTTTGTCCCTAGCAGCTAGGTCATCCCTGGAATACGGGACAATCAATAAGAACTGGGTGCTGGCTGATGATCTTCTTATCTGAGCTACTTCAAACTGATGTGACTGTGGGGAGCCAATTTGTCTCTTCAAGGCTCCAGGTTCTTTCAACTGTACGCAGTTGGGGTTTGTTCATGCTAATACCTGACATGCATGAACATTTACTATTGGACTGGGACTTCTTTTAAACTTTCAGTATCCCAATGAGATGGTACTTTACCATCTCCATTACAGATCCGGGAACTAAGCCTGAGAATTTAAGTGATTTGACCCTGATTCACAAACAATCACTATATACAAACCCAGCCAATTTGGCTTTGCTCCTCACACTCTTCTCCACTATGACATTCTGTTTCCACATAGGTCAAAACTAAATTGAGAGACAGAGATGGTAGAGGTAGGTAGGACATCATTTTTAAGGAGCTCTCCATTTATTAATTGATTCATGTAAGAACTGAGGAGGCTTCTAGCGAGTGGCTACAGGGCTTTGAATCCTGAATGTGGACTCTGGTTGCAGAGGCAGATGGTGCAGTCAGCCAAGAATTCTCACAAGGAGAGAAGGGGTCTCACAGTAAGACCAATAAACAGGGGCGTCAGGTTGTAAGGGAATAGGACTTAGGAAACAGTATAATGTCTGGTGTTGAACTCCTGATGTAGCCACATTGGGGCCACAGAATAAAGAGATCCACGCAGATTACAATAGTAATTGTGTGGGACACTCACACTCAGCCCCTTTATTCGTGGGTGGCTGCTGAATCCAGGAACATGGACTTGATGCAGCCTATGTTGAAATCAAGATAAATGTCAGCCTTCTCTGTAGCTATCTGGACCTTTTACAGTCTACTGAAAGGATCGCAGAATAGCAACTTGGTGTAAAAGAATGCTGGGCAGGGGATCAGGAAACTGTGGATCCTCATCTTGGGTTCTTGCTTATGAATGATAAATACTGAAGCAAACCTAAGGTAATTTTTCTTATCTGTAAAGTAGATAATAATAGTTGTCTATTTTTAGGCCTTTTGTAAGGATCAAATGAAATAATATCAGAGAAGATGCTTTGAAAATAGATAAATGCTGAAGATAATATATTAATTATTGTTGAGGCAAACTAGCTTTATCGTTGTTGAGGAAAGAGAGTGTTTTCTGGGCAATCTTGTTCCATCTGAGAAGGAAGGCCTCAGGTGGTGCAGCATAAAGTTGCAGCCCAGAGAAGAGGGAAGAGGGTCCGTTCTGACCAGTCCTTGAGTTCTAATTCCAGTTTCATGTCCCATAATTGGGTCTTCCTCCTGCAAGGTCTGTTGGGTACTGCAGATTTGGGGATGACTCTATTACCAGCCCTCTTCTACTTGGCAGCAATTCCCCCAGCCTTGTACTAGATACGTTATATCTGATAAGCTCAGTAAGTTCTGGAAAGGAACCAACCATAGACAGGTCTGGATTCTGAATAACTCATGCTTCTGTCCTTGACCAAGTCAGTTTTCTAAAAGCCACTAGCCTGGTCCGGAGGCTTCCTTAGCGTTCCCTCCCCGGTGGGAGTTTGGTGGATTAAGCACTCCTAGTACATGTCCGCCAGGACAGGTAGGAACTCGGACACTGTGGAGGTCACTAAGGGATGTGGCTGCTGCAGGACTGCCTGACAGGAGGCTCGGAGGATGGGAGGTGCCCTGGGATCAGTCACTGTGCTGAGTGGGTCTCAGTTGTCCCAAGGGCCCCTGCAGCCAGTGGACAGTGATGTTTCTGACTCCAACAGGCTTGTGAACAGATAGTAAGACCACCAAAGAACAAGTGGAGGTGAAACAGACTCTGAAAACTCCTTTCTTCAGTCGGCTAATTTTAAATATCCAGTAATCCTTTGGGAGTGACCCTCCCTGAAAGAATGCTGAAATGGAAACTTTTACATAATAAAATTGAGCACACTGTAAAGGAGCTAAAATATTTTTGCAGTAAGATTTATAAATGATGTTATCAAAGATGAACAGTTTCTGTTCCTGTACAAACTTCCAGAAAAGACTTTTTGCTTTAATATTAAAGACTAAGAGACAACAACAAACATACCATCCAGCAGGGTGTCAAAGTGTAGAGTTTGTAAGTATTCCTTCTCCCGCATGAATCCTTTGAGGGGAGTGGCCCAGCCTTCACTTAGAATTTGGACCCACTGGAGATCCAGCTGCAAAACACAAAAAGCAGATTAATATTTCCATAAATTCTACTTCTCAGGTATCTGGCCTCAAGATAGTTCTTATTCAATTGGCAGGAGGATGAAAGCAGAACCTTTTATGTTTTAAACATTCCCACATGTTACGCTGATCTGTGATATAAGGGTCAGATAAGTTTAAGCCTAGAATTTTCCTATAAAAGAGTATTAAAAAGATACCAAGTTAAGATGATGTATTTGAACATTGTAGGGTGTACCTATTCCTCTAATATGCAACTGAGTTGAAAATTCACTGTCAATTCCTTTGTTATTTTTTTCCACAAAAATTGTTTTTTTTTTTTTTTTTTTTTTGTCATTTGGCTGAACTGAGCAAATCACTAAATCTAAGCTAAAATCCAAAATAATAAGAAAATCCTGAAATATTTCAAGGTCTGGACACTCAGACTCACGGAGGGTCTCCCACCTCCTATTCCAGCTGGGTACTATACCGAGCAATGTGTGACTTAAACACACAAGTCATTTCAGGCCTGAGTTTTCTCATCCTCTCCTCACCTGTAAAATGACAGTCATACTTTAAAACCCAGCTCATGACTCACTAAAATCTTTCCTGTAATCCCTGTGACCAAAAGAATGAACCATTGGATTTTTGAAGTTCTCTACATTGCAGGCCATCCTGCTGTTGGAAATCTACCACGCTGTATTATGTAAAGATGTTTTCTTATCTGCCTGGGGCTTGGGGAGCTTAGCATTTATTTTACTGAGGCAGGATGTTTGTTCATGACTTATTAGATTATGGGTCTTCAGAGCTGAAGCAGGTTCCTTATTTATCTTGCACCTTACAAAATTGCCAACTTTTTGATGGATAAAAATAGGTCTCAATAAAGACGTGATCTCCTTGTATACCCCAGTTAACACTGACCCATAAAAAGGGACACACAGGGAAGTTTGCTGGAGTCACATCTTACGTCTTCCATGCAGAAAAAATAGTGCAACCAAATTTGTCTCCTTCTTTTCTCAGACTGAATTCTTGCTGATAAAGGAAGAATGCAATTTTTAGAGCAGAAAAGATGGAGGGATTTGTATCATTCCAGATCAGGGTTTTCTTCTTCAAACTCCTTTTTGATGGCCCAGGAAGTGCTTGAGTTTTGGACACACCATGTTCTCAGCACTGCCAGCACATAATTTTTGGTCTGCTGTCCATACTTCAGCATAATTGATGTAGGTGAACACATGTGAAACTGTCCCAGGTAAATACGGATTTTATTCTGCCACTCTGCTGCCCACCTCCTCATGAAACTGATCAGCTGCCTTATGGTGAGAGATTTGCTCGGAGAAGGGGCAGAAACATTGGCAAAAACAAAGTGATTTTCTCTCCACAAACACTGCCATGTCCTGTGTTCATACTTTCTTCATTATAATGTAATGACGTTGTAATGACAGACTTCAGCTAGAAGTTACCCATTTACCTTGGTAATTGACAGTGAAGGAAGAGACTCGGCCTCAGTTCGAACTTGATCCAGTTTGTTTTCTGGCACAAAAAGTTCATGGATCCCTTTGACTATCGTATGGGGTAAGATGTTCTGAAAGGAAACAAAATTGGCAACAATTTCACATGAAAACTGAAAAAACAATGCTTTATTCACGAAGCACAGATTTCCTTTCATGGCTTTATTAAACTGCATAAAAGAAAGGCGGCCAGTGCACCCACCTGCTCTTGCAGCAGCTCCACCACCTGCTGAACACAGTCACTCACGGAAGTCAAATTGGTTTTAAGCACACACTCAGGAGTTTCGGGCTTCTCATAATCAGAATCAATACCTGTAAATCCTGCAAGGCACGAGTGGGGAATCACATCCATACCTACGGATTTTTTTTTTTCTAATCAGTGAGGCATAACACAGGGTGGAGGGCCAGAGAGCTCAGCAGCACAGTGCCTGCCTGGCAAGTGCAAGGTCTTGAGTTTGATTCCCAGTAAAAAGAAAAAACCAAAAAAAAGAACACATGGTGGAATATCCGATTGTACCAGAAAAGAGCAAACAGCCCTCATTGACATCTTGTTATAGGTTAAGAAAATGCACGGTTATGTTTTCAACATAAAAAGCCCCAAATATCAACAATATCTAGCAAAGTTCAAACCCTCTGCAGCTGATTGGAACTGAAAAGGAAAGCAAAAAGGAAAACTTTGAAACCCCCACCCAAGAGTCCCATACACGTGCCTATTTTATGGCTAAGCTGACAGTTCTGGAAAGAGGAAACTGTACATTTTAATAAGCTTTTATTATGAATTGATAAAAGTTATATATATATATAAAACACAGGCAATTTTTGGATCAAAGAGTTGGTTCTCATACCTTTAATCTCCCCCGCCCGTGCCCGCTTGTACAGGCCCTTTACATCTCTGCTTTCACAAATATTTAGAGGTGCATCGATAAATATTTCAAAGAATGGCAGTCCTGCTGATTCATGGATTTTACGGGCATTTTCACGATCCTGAAAAGCAATATATTTAAGAACATAACAAGAGATTTGCCAAGGTTGAATGTGTGCTTTGGATTTCATGTGCTGAAAAACTTAATCTCAAATTCATAGCTGCTGGTATTTGGAAACAGACCCTTTGAGAACTAATTCAAACTAAATACAGGTAGAGCTCCCCACCTTACTCCGTGGAGCCAGTAGCTTTACAGGAAAAAGAAGGCTGCACTGGCTGCTCGCTTGGCCTTGCCCTGTGATCCCTTCCACTGTGTTAAGTCACAGCCAGAAACCCCTTATCAAACCCAAGCAGATGCTTGTGCCATGCTCTTGGACTGTTCCACCTTCAAAATCACGATCCAAATAAACCTCCGTTCTTTATTAATTACCTAGTCCATAGTATTTTGTTACATCAACAGAAAACGAATTAAGGCAAAATTTCTTTAGGTAATACTGGGATTTATGCTTTACAGAGTTCTTTTAGAAAGCCCAGAAATGGCACTCCGTTAAACACAATTCTCTCAAGTCTTTCAGTTGAATGTGGTATTGCACACCTGTAATTCCAGCACTCTAAGAGGCTGAGGCAAGAGGATCACATTTTGAGCCCAGCTTGGAACATTTAGTGACTTAGCAATACCCTGTCTCAAAATAAAAATCCAAAGGGCTAGGAATGTAGCTCAGTGCAAAGGGCCTGAGTTCAACCTCAGGCATCTGTAGGTCCTCAAAAAAAAACCTTTCAAAGATATCACCGGAACCAGCACTTCTTGGCAGGACAGCACTGTCAACATGGGAGGATTTCATTCAAAAGATGTGCTGAAAGCACACAGTACACTACCCGTAACTTCTGGAAATTTCTAGTTTTAAAACAAGTGACACTCTACCTAGGTGATGGCCTATTAAATACATTTAACCCAATGCCTTCTTCTTCTTTTCTTTATGAGTTAAACACTCTTCTTTCACACAACGGAAATTATAGAGCTTTACAGTTCTTCTTGTTAACTTTTTCTTCCTTTTAACTCTGACCAAGTGTCTCTTGTAATTGGGAATGTAAAAGGGCTTATGTCAACCAATGTCCTGACATCTGGAGATGAAGGAACTCTCTTTAAATAGCCAACAGTAAACAGAGAAAGTGAGGGAGTCTTTGGGCAGGGGAGGATGGATGAGGAAATTAAACGTTTAATATTTCTTTGCAACTTTCCCTTCATTCCCCTTCTGTTCTTAGCAGTTGCAAGAACTACATGCAGTGCCAAATCCTCCTACCTTTGTGAACGGAGAAATGAAGCTGGTAATGCAGACCAGACCAGCGTCAGCAAACAGCTTGGCCACCTCAGCAATCCGGCGGATATTTTCCTCTCGGTCCCCAGGAGAGAATCCAAGGTTTTTGTTAAGGCCGTGACGGACATTGTCCCCATCCAGGGAGTAACATGGGATGGCATGGGACATGAGGTACTCTTCCAGAGCAAAGCTTATTGTTGTTTTCCCAGCACCAGAAAGACCTGTCAGATCAGGCAACAGAGACTGGCATTGCCCCCAGTCGCTTAAAATGATAAATCCTGAACTAATCTAGCACGTTAAACACAAATAAACTAAATTCTGATCATTTGATTAATGTTAAATCAAAATTATTTAAATCTAGAAAAAAGTTATTTATAAGAAAACTATTTGCATTTTTTTGAAGTTTTGAAATAACTTATTAGGATTAAAACCTTTCAAAGTAAGTGGAGTAAATAAATAGACCTGGGGGAGTACATCTGATGCTCTTAGCCATTACAAATGTCTAATTAAGGGTATTGACAGTCGTTGGTAAATCATTGTAAAAGATGTCAATTTTTTGCACCAATATGTTAATATGTTGCCAGATTATGTTATTCAATTTCACTTGACCTAAGACTCAGGTGGAGAATTCTTAGAATTTCTGTCAGATTGAGCAGTAGGGAAAATAGAAATCTTGATGTTCTTTTTGCATTAGACATAAAAGAGAAGTAACTGAAATTTCATTCAAGCTTTCAGAAAACAAATAGCAAAATCATAGTAACGGTATTTAATTAAACATTTGGCACCATTATTTCAATATATAAGGATAAAGGTGATTCTATTCACTAAGGACTTTATTGTGGACCAGGCATTGCTGCTTTGTTTCATTCCGTTCCACTTCCACCTCCTAAGACAGTACTAATCCTAATGCTCCTTCTATGAACAAGGAACCCGAGGCTTTAGAGAGGTTGACTGGCTTGTCCAAAGCCACACAACTAGTGTAGGTCGAGCTGAATCTCTGGACTTGAAGTCTGTATTTCTTTTGGCCTCTTTGGTTAACAGCCTACCTCTAGAATATAAGAATAAAAAATAAAAGATAACAAGGGGATTTTTAAGAATAAAAAAAGACAAAGAGATATTCCCTTCGTACCCCACCCCCTTCTTTTCTTCCTTTCAAGGGAGTGCCAATTAAGGGAAAGCACTTCTTGTGCCTGTCCTACCACAAAAGTTGTTTTCATGAATAAACAGCACATGGAACCAAATCTGTAACCAGAGGGACATTTCTGGGACACCTGTACCTGTATATCTCTTTGAGGGAGTCAGGGAAAACATCGGAGGAAGTGACAGGCAAGTGCTGTGCACTGGGACTCAGCACGCTCTTTGGCCCTGTCTGCCCTCATCCCAGAGGCCAGAGAGTGCCTCTGATGAGGAGCCCAGGTACGAATGGAACCAGGGAGACAAAGACACCAGAAAGGAACCTGACAACCATAGAGAGAAAAAGGCTAATTTGAACAGGAAGGGAAAAGATGCAGAATAACAACAAAAGATGCAAAGCAGGTCCCCGTCGGCCATGTTCTTTAGAATTCTCATGTTAAAATGCATCTTCCTGGTGAGCAGAAAATAATACCCACCTGTTTTCATAACCTGGCTAAACATCTTTCCGCAGCTGGGTTTGGGAAAAGGGATGTCTATGAAAGGAAATGAAGTTTTCACTTTGAATCTAGGGTGTTAGACTCATTCCCGAGAAGTATTCTTCTACTTTGCACTCGGAGCTGGTAAGTAACAACTTCTGTGAAACTCATTTTATAAAAGAAAGACTCAACCTTGCCCCTCCTAATGTGAATTTTTTCATTTCCACAGATTACACTGACCCACTAGCTTGTGTATATTTTCAAAGCTTGAGTATCCACCTTGTACTCACAGCAGGAGTGTAGGGCATCTTAGGGTCTAATTTCAGTTCTTTCACTAACCATTAGCTTTGGCATTCTGCAGCAATAAAATGACTAGAAAAAATCACTGCGTCACCAGTAGAAACAAGGGTTTTTGTTTGTTTGTTTGAGGAAAACAGCCAAATGAAAATCTCCAATTTTCCTTCCTTTTTTAATTTTTAAAAAATTAATTGTGCGTGCGCGTGTGTGTGTGTGTGCGTGTGTGTGTGTGAGACAGGGTTTCATTATGCAGTTCAGGCTGGCCTGACCTTAAACTCACTTTGCAACTCAGGTTGGTCTCAGCTTGCAGTGATCCTCCTGTCTCAGCCTCTCGAGGGCTGGAATTACAGGCATGTGCCACCATAAGTGGCCAATTTTCTTTCTTGTACAGATTGTTACAGTTACATGTTTGTTTACAGTAAGGAAAGAGTCTCCTAAATGTCAAAACATCAGAAAACAATAATGAGTATCTCTCAACACCCTAAGCCTTATGGACTGCCAATGCTTCTCAGCTTATTAGGAAAACCCTACTCATCCTCCCAAATGTGTTTATTTAAGGATAAACATGATAATTACTGAACTTCTCAAAACTGAAAGGAGATGCCACGGTCAACTTGTCCTATCTTGTCCTGCCAAAGAGGAGGACATTGGAAAATAGGGGCTCCATCAGGCTGTATTCCTGGAGTCAGACTTTAACCTATTTCTCATTGATAGTAGCTGTAGGACTAACACTTAAGCTTTCTAACAGCTTTTGGCCTGCTTGTGGCTAAATAAGTACTGTGTGTAGTATTAAAATTGCAAATTACATTCCCTTGTCAATTAAAGTATGTATATATATTGTTCATATGCTATACGAACATGCTACATACACAGTGTGCATGTGCGTGCATGTACATGTGTGTGCACACTCACCTGTCAGCCAAACAGTACATCCCCGGAATCCGCCTCTTGTCCCAACCACTTGCCCTCTCTTATTCCTGCTTACGTGGTGGGCCTGGTAGACCACATTGGTGGATTTCTGTTGGCTTTCCTACAAAACAAGACCAAGAGTAATGTTTGATTAATAAATTACACATTCTTTACTGGAACAATATAAATCAATTTTGACTTTTAACTGAAGGAGATGTAACAACTTCTGCGAAACACATTTTAAAAAAGAAAAACTCAACCTTTTCCCTACTAATATATTTGTTTCTTCATTTCTGCAGATCACTCTGAGTCATTAGCTACCTACATATGTTTTCATAGCTGGGAATATGTTCAGCAACTTTCATTATTCTGTTCCTTTTTCTTACTGTGATCTTAAGAAAGTCTGTTCCCATGAAATAATTATTTTTCAAGTATTGCATAATATTTCATTGATTCATGCAACACAAACTGCTTTGTAACTAAAAGTATAAGTGCAATAACAGCTTATGTTCATAGTTTTCCATAGCTGTATCTCTTTTATAACCAGCAAACAGAATAATAGTTGTTAATTCTGCTAATTTACAAACAGTGTCTCATTGGGATGTCTGTCATGCTCCTCTGAGAGTTTGATTATAACTCTGATAATTTTGATGCTATGTAAGAGTTCCAGTTGCATGACATTTTAAGCTGTGTACCTAGGTGGTGCTCAGAACAATGGCCTTGTTTCTGTAAATGCATGTCCTCCCCAAATCTGAAAGGCCTGAACATGGGACAACACTAATTCTCTAGCAGTTGAGACAATGTTAAGAGTATGCTGCTTGAGCCCATTTTATGGAGCTAGGAGAAGCCCGGACCCGGAGTTAAGAGTAAAAATTAAAACCACCCGAACAGCAGAACCAGGGAAGAGTTTAGTCCTGAACACAGTGGGCTACTTTCTCACAAGAACTAAACTTGGTTGCCACTTTCTCTGGGGATGCATGGAATTTCTAATTGTTCATGCAGAATCATTTATTAGAAATAACAATGATCAGTTTGGAGACTTTGGAGTCTAATTCAAATAACAAATGTTTGTAGTATTTGATTGTAATAAAATTAGCCTAGTGAAGTAACAATTGATCCTTATTCTAAACTCTGACTACAAGATAATGTGATGAAAAAATATAAAATAAAGAAATACAGTTTTTGATAGAAGTGATGCAAGGGAGAAAAAAATGGATAATTAGCTTAAATAAATAGATTGGGAATTACCCATATATATGTACAATGTGGTCATTGAATTTCTAACAATGGACATAACCCAGGTTTCTGAACTATTTCTGAACTGATTTACAGGCATATGTGGCCAGAGTTAAGAAAGTATCACTTTTTGAACAAGACCTAGAGGATATTAAAAAAACAAAAACACCTCTGGTTATATAAGGGTAAAATTTGTTTTCTGGAGCAAGTCAGTTCACTTTTTGCCATCTTCTTTGGTAAAACAAAGTGGGCAACAACCAGAGGTTGAGATGAGATAATGGACATGAGCTTGCTCTATAAATGGCAAAGTTCTCTACAAATGTGGATGCCAGTGACTCTTATTCACTACAGACCCTTCACTGTAGAGGCTGAAGCCAGATGGTTTGGACCAGGTAAATGGCTTCAAAACTAGTGGTAAAGAGCTCTGTGGAGGATTAAGAGAGACAGAGCACAGCACTGGGGCAGGCCTGCTATTGAGGCAGACGTCATCACGGGGGCAGTGAGCAGGAATGGGCATTATTGGGGCCACGATGAAAGAGGCTGAAAGCACAGTGGGAGCAGCAGTGATGCTATCTAAAACCCTCCAGAGCTGGTGCTGACAGTCCACCAAACACATTTGGTCAGGACCTGTGCATTCAAGGTCTTGGAGCGGTGGAGACAGTACAGAACGCAGGAGTTAAATGTGGTGATGGCTTCCATTAGGGGATTCACAAATGGGGACAAGTTATATTACAGTAATCCTGAGACACTCTACCAGGAGGCTCCTGGGTGTACAAATCTCTAAGTCAAACACACTGTACAATTCAAAGGTAACACTTATTTTCCCTTTTCTCTGTTTTCTTTGCCATTTTCACATTCTTGTGCCACCAAATTCAAAAATATGGTGTCTGAATATCAGGTCCAGAACTCAGGTCATCTGTTCTGTTTTTTCACTGATCTTTCAGTAAATATTTGTTGAGCTCCTCCTCTATGCCAGGGCAAACCTTGGCATTGGGAATATAGTACTAAAGAAAGGAGAGTACTGACAGTGCTCTGAGCAGAAAAACAAACAAGATCAAGTAATGAGCTTCACTTTCTGGGCGAGGGAGAAGTGTGTGTGTGTGTAAAGCTACTTAAAGCTCATCTGCAAGTCAATACTAAAAAGACAATCCAGTTTTTAAAAATGAGCATAGATTTCAACAATCACTACAGAGAAAGATATATACCTGGCTATTAGAGAACTATAAAGAGCTCAATATCATCAGCCATCAGAGAAATGCAAACTAAAACAAAAATGAGACGCCACTGATAACAACGGGAGGAGTAAAAATGTACTTTCAAATGTTGATGGCACAACGATCCAGGAACAGCACCTTGAAATGTCTCATAAAACTAAATGTCTACCTCCCCTATAACCATTTGTTCCAGAAAAATGAAAACATTACCCACAAAAAGACTTGTTCAAGAATGTTCTTAGCAAATATATTTGGGAAAAAAAGTTCATCAATAAGTTACCAAGAAAAACTCTAAAAATACAAAACCAACTTTGAACTGTAGAAGACTTATAAAATAGAAAAATAATACATGGCAGTCAAAAGGATGGACTAGTGATACAAGCAGTGTGCATAAGCAAAACAAGTGGGAAAAGACTATCCTGAGACAGGGAAACTTTACAGAAAAACTATGTGTGCAAGATCCCATCTATAGGAAACCTCAAAATAGGAAACACTAATCTGCCATGCCAGAATAGCAGCACACCCCTGGGTAATAGCAATTCTCTGTGCTGCGATAAGGGTTTGAACAAACGGGCACTTACATTTGTTGACCTTCCTATGGATACACTTCATATATGTATTTTATTATAGCAAATTTTTATCTCACACAAACAAAATTAGTTATCAAAAAAGTAAGCAAACAAGTAAATATAGAATAAGACTTCAGCAGTGGGTGGTAGTGCATGCCTATAAGCACAGCATCTGGGAGGTGAGGCAGGAGGGCTGTCGGTTCAAGCACAGGCTGGACCACACAGGAGACTCTGTCCCCAAAAAACAAAAATAACAACCAAAACAAAAAGACTTCTGGTGGTGGAACTGTCTTGTTCAACACTGCTATTTTTATGAGAAAGACTGATGTCAACCACACAGTGTGCTAGGCTGTCGCTCTGCTGCTCACTTGTTCTCAGAACCCCTATGGAAGCTTAAGGTATCTGCAGAGACAGATTTCTCCTGTCTTTTGCCTATATCTTATTCATTCAGGCAGAGATCCTGCATACAGTCTAGGCTCTATTATTCTTGTGTAAGAACTTTTTGTGATTTTATGAAGTGCCATAGCAGCAAGTTTTTCACTTTTTTTTTTTTTTTTTGGTGTCAGAAATTGAACTCAGGACCTTGTGCTTACCAGGCAGAAGTTTTTCACTTTTAAAAATAGTTGCTAAATTGGGGCTGGGGATTTAGCTCAGCAGCATAAGCACCTGCCTTGCAAGCAGGCGGTCATGGTACCAATAAAAAAAAAAAAAAGCTGCTAAATCATAATGAGGAAGAATTACTCTAGGAAGTACTATAATTGCATCTTTATCATACAAATTTTTTATATATCTAGAAATGTTTAAACATACAAAATGTTCCCAGATGGCCAGGTACTTGGCTTTCCTGGTTTAGTAAGATATTTTGCTTCCTATTTAACTCATAATCACCCTTGATATTTTGCTAAAGGCAAACAAATAAAATAGAAGCAAATGTCTTGAATATTTGAACTGCACAGGGGTGGGACAGCCAAACACTTTTTGCTGAAAGTTTTACACTTGTTGAAAGAGAAGGTGGTGGCATTGTAAGCTTTGGAAAGAAAGTGGTTGTCAGGAAGAAGATTCCCTCTATTGGAAATAAAAACATATTACAAGAAAAACTGCCTTCATCTTTGTGTGTGCATGAGAGCACAGACACCCTCAGCACCTGGTCTAACCCTGTCACTTAGTAGGAAGTTGGCCAGAGGCCACAGAGTTGGTGGCACACTGCTATGCTGGATCCTCAAGAAAGAACTTGCAAAAATCTTTACTGTTCCCTGAGTCTCTGGACGAGAAAACCTCCCTCCAGAGCACACTGCATTGGCATGGGTGGATTTTGGAGTCATCCAAATCTAAAATTTAAGCCTATTTTGTAGCCTTTTTGCTCTGTGACCCAGGATGATTTATTAATAGAGGAATCTCGAGGTCTTGGGCCTGCCTGCACCAACTTCCCAGTTTCCTGCTGTACTCAGCTGACTCTGGGTATCTTGGGCTGCTTGCGCCCTCAATTCTGGAAACTGGGCAGTTGGAGGTGAGTGTCCCCACACCATCCTGAGCACTGGGAGTTTAAGATTATCTGCCAAGGAACTTCACAGCTTCCTGCCATGCTCAGCCAGGTTGGTGGGTCTCGGGCCTGCCAGCACCACACATAGTGACCCTCTCTCAATCTAGGGAACTGGGTAGCCAGAGTCCCAGGAGCTGAGAGCATAGAAGAGGATTTCCAGGGAAAGCCTTGGAATAACACTTGAAACACAGAAATATAGGAAAATGACAAAACAAAAGACCAAAATACAATTTCAAATCTCCAGCCTATCCCAAGAAACCTTAGGAGCTATGTACATAGAAGAAAATATATGCCATACACTTGAAATACCTGAAGTAATACTAACTGATATAATGAAGCAACTCTGGAGGGCTGGGGATTTAGCTCAGCAGCATAAGCGCCTGTCTTGCAAGCAGGCAGTCGTGAGTTCAATTCCTGGTATCGATAAGAAGGAAAAAAGACAAAAAAAAAAAAAAAAAAGCAACTCTGGAAAGCTTTAAAGGAATTCAAACTAGAAATAATCTCCCAGGTAAAAGAAGAAATGATAAAAGAAATGAAAGACATGCTGAACATATCTAAAGAT